TGCTTTAATTACTCATTCCTGTCACAAGTAGGTTACACGACTGGCTATGGCTTTGGGTAGTTCTTATAGTATCAACAATTAGATTCAGCCACTGTTCTGGACCTATAAGATAGTAAACCATGTGATTCATGGGGTCTAACATCTTAGTATTAGTTATACAATGAGAAGAAAAGCAAATGATTCACTCACAGATCTATTCAGCCTTGTTGTCTAAAAAGGGTTCCAAAAGGAAGACAGTATCTCTGAATTACTGAGATTGTATGAGCATGTTACTATTTATTTAGGTAATTCTGAAACTTAAATCCTGCAATGATTTTAAATGTGGTGATTCATTTTAACAATGAATTGGACTGCTTACATTCATTTATACAAGAGGCTCTGAAAAATAATGATTTGGAGAAGCATGTTCTTATGAAAGTTTCTTATGTTTCTATGAAGAAAGGAAAAATGCATGGATCACACTGATAGCCTAGCTAATGCAGCATTCTGTTACGCAAGGGCCAGCCAGATGCCTCCTGAAAGCCCCTATATAGGACATGATGATCAACACTGTCCTGCTTTGTTTCCCAAACTAATGGTATCGATAAACTCATCTGATTCTTATACCACATAAGCTATTCTATGGCTTATTTAATTTTGGCAATGTGTTATCAGAACTGAGCCACTGTATTTTAAAAAATGTATCTTACAACAGGTCTTGTTGTGGAACTCATTTTCATGTGTAGTTTGTTCAATAAAGTATAGTTAAATGAACTATGGCTTAGTGTGCTGTTGAACCTTGCCACTGCTCCAATACTGAAGGGCTAAACACAGTTCTCATGACTGATAGTTGATGATAGCCTTATCATTTATAAATTTGTCTAATGCTTTTAGAGCCAATTGAGTATGTCCTTCTTTTTTTCTTAGATTACTTACATGGCACAATTCATATTTAGGCTTAATTATACTATTAAAATACATTTACCTGGGAATTAGTCCCACTGCATCCAGTGCTTTTTACTCTCAGATGAGTATTAAGGTTGTATAGAGCTACAGACTGAAAGGTAAAGAGATGCTCTGGAGCATGCAGTGATGCACAGATAGCATCTGTTTGCAATCCCCCCCCCTTTTTTTTTCTTGAATCATGCTGCAGCTACAGAGAGCAGACACACGATCCCAGGGAAAAAAATGCAGCTGCTTTGAGGAATTGTGGACAGGTGCCATGTGAGTACCCCCTGTACTCTAAAACACCTTTTTATCTTCAAATCAAAAGTGTTACACCCACAGCTTCAGCGAGTATGGGCTTACAGACCAAATTGCTTGTCAGCAAGTTATGAATATATGTGAATAAGAATTCCAACTTGTAATTGTATATAAGTGTTTTCTTTGTCTTCGAGAAGAGACATTAGGTTGATTTTGCCCCAAAATAATGCTGACCAGTGATTGACTAGTTTGTTGTTTGAGGTACACTGTATGGAACAAAGCTGATAACAGATTTTAGGCAGTGACTTAAAAAATGCAACAATTATCAATGTTGTCTATTGTACTTTTGCTACATAATAGACACTATTTGAATTGTGTCCTTCAGACATCAAAATATATTGCTGAGAAATATTGAATAAGAATACTTAAACTTATGTTCAAAAATGAAACACACACAAAAAAGAAAATGAAACTTGGACATGTACATACACATCTATGTATATATTATGTGTGCAGACACATATGTATAAGTCCAAGTTTTATTTTCTTTTTTCTTTCAGTTGTTACTGGTTTTGCCATTAATTTATTTTTCTTTTCAATGTCTATTTTTCACATATTTTTATTTTATCAAAGAAAAAAAATATTTACTCTACTAGGAGAGTTTTGAATGCTTTCTCAGATGTCATCCCAGAAATATGGACAAGTTGATAAGGCATTATAGCGTTTGCCTGCTTTTGCCTAAATGTATTGGATGAACACAGATATTATCTATATTCTACTAAAACTCTCGTGTCTGGAACATCAACTGGGCAAAATGGTGCATCATAAGGTAACAATTTTTGAACCAAGGTACCTCAAATTGGTTAACTTACAGAATGCATCCAAAATCTGGGACCCATGACACCCATGGGATTGAAATTTGGGAAATTTGTGGCCGCTTCAGCACTGCTGTAGCCAGCCCAGGTCACGCGATCGTCATGGGCATATCCCCAACCTCTTTCCCACCTCCCTCTGTCCCTTACACCCAATTGGCTGGTGGCAAGGCCCAACAGGTGAGTGGCGATTGGCTGCTTTGAAAATGAGGCAGAAATTTGAAATCTCTTAAAGGTGGTAAGCATTGAAGGGAGGAGGAGGAGGGAGTCACCTGGATGCCTGCTAGCGAGGTAGGGCTGGCAGGGGAGGCCGGTGGTTGACAGGTGAGCCCTCTTCCTTCCTCGAGGGAGAGTGCCCTTGGGGACATGCCAGAATGGGGAGTGGGAGTGCAGTTTTCCCCATGGTCCACAGCTCTCTTTGTTCCACCTCTCCCCAGCAAAGTAGCGGGCATTCCATGGGTCAGCCGAGGAGGAGTCGGAGGAAGCTTCACCAGGCTCTCCTGAGGGTCGTGAGGGGAGGGCAAATGGTGCAAGCCTATATTATATGTGGGTGGGAGGGAAGAAAGGAAGTCTAGTGGTTTATAAAACATGGCTTATAACATAGTGTGAGAACCAGCTAGTTCTAATTTAGTCAATAAAACATGACCAGACGAAGTACAACTTGGAGCAATGTGTGAACACAGAAACATTTACATTGTGTGTGCCTAATTCAGGTTAAGAACTTTTGAACTAAGTAGACATATTGGAATAAGCATCCATACAACAGGGCTGCATACCTTATTTTGTTAAATTTCAGTATAATTACCGTATTTTTCCATTAATAAGATGCCCCCATGTATAAGATAACCCCCTCTTTTCCATCCCAAAATTAAGAAATCAATATTTTAAAGATAAAGAACACATTTTTATTTAGTAATTAGGTAACATTTACCTACACTCAGTGGGAGGAGGTCCAAACTGTCTCTCTGCAGCTCTATTTCTATGCTC